TGATGGGGTGCCTAGCGCATGATAGGTGCTCACTCTGTATGTGTTGGATTTTCGAGGTGTCAGATCCTTCTAGGACTGAGCAGGCGGACGTGAGGCAGGTGCTGTGCGCCCCGCTCCGCCCCAGCACAGAGTGAGCCCCCGCTGTCCCAGGCCTTGTGCTGGCTCCCAGGGGAGACGCAGGGCTGGATTCCCTGGCAGGGCTGGGCTGGACTGGCGGCCCTGGGGCTACGGTGAGGAGAGGCTTGCGTGGCCCAGTCCACCTGATTCAGGTGTTCCAACCTCCCTGCCTTCTGTCCTGCATCCTACGGCTGTTCCTGACCTTCTCCGCCCCCTGCTCCGTGTTCTACAAGGCACACACCTGCGTCCCGCTTGCTGGAGTGGTCCAGAGTCACCTGCCTCCAACCCCGCTCCCCCAGGGTCCTGCTCGGCTCGCATGCCTGATACTCTGTTCCCGTGTGTGACATATATGACACCATTGGCCCATTCTGGAACCTTGCCTTCCAACCCTGGTGATGGCTGCTCCTCAGACCTCCAGGCTGGCTCTGTGGCGCTCGACTCCTCTGTTACCCCTCCCCCAGAGCACGCTCAGCCTGCAGCCGCTCCCTCTGGCCCCGCACCTCCCTCAGCCACCTGTAGACCCATATAGGACATGCCGCTCCCCAGACGCCTCAGCGACCCTCTTTCTCTTCCCCGACAGACCCCCTCCCAGTTCCTTATTCCCGTCCTGGGCACCATTTCATTATGTTAGTTAATTACTGTAGTTTTGTTGCTTTTTTTTTTTTTTCTCTGTCACCCTCTCCAGGCCCCGGTTCCTGCCACAATTCCCCCCTCAGAGTCTTGTGTCTCTGTCCCCTCTGCACATCCCTTCCGAGGCCAGGACCTGCCTGGCTTATGCAACAGCCTTGGATGGAAGCCCCACCATCCCCACCACCATCTCTCCCCGCCACCCCCTCAGGCACTTGGCTCCAACTTCCTCAAACCCCATCTGCATCCTGCCTCACTTCTCCAAAACCACCATTCATCCCCTTGCCTCCCGTCTGGATTTCTCTGGGTGACAGGTCACATGATGCAATAGAGCTGGGACTCTGAGTTCTGTTCCCACCCTGCCACCACTTTGCTTTGTGTTCCGGTCAGGTCGCCATCCATCTCTGAACACCAGGCGCCTCCTTGTGCCAACCAGGCTGGGGAGAGCATCTCCCTGCAGCGGCATCCTGAGGGTTTGGAGCTGCCACCTCAACCCTTCTCTGTCAGCTTCACCTGGCTGGGCTTGCAGGCCGGGCGTGGAGCCGATGCGGGAAACCTTTCCTGGGGCCCCTGGGGCCCCTGGACAGGAGGAGTCACTTGGCCATCAGCCTCTGTGCTCTCCCAGCTTACCAGGAGGCCTGTGGGTGCAGGGGCATGAGTCTGAACAGGGCCCCTGTGTGTGGCCCTGCCCCGCAGACCAGATCAGCTGCAGCCACCCTGTTGGCCCCGGGCAGAGGGTGAGCGCTCCCAGCGTGCCCTCCCTGCCTCTCCTTCCCCCTGTTTCAGAGCTTCCCTAACTAGTTCCTTCCGTCTTCTCTAAGGAATCCATCGTGCCCGTTAGCACCGGGATCTTTAGTTCAAAGAGGTGACCTGGGCGCTGGTCAGTGGACGGGGAGAGATCGAAGGGCAGAGAGACCTCATGGCAGGCGGGTTGGGCTGGAAATGGGAAGAGTATGCCGGATCCTGGTCGGGGCCCTTCTGGCCCAGTGGGGGTTGCTGGGTGACTGGGAACGATAGAATCCACGGGTCCTCATTCTCATTTTGCCATTTTTTGTGGATGGGGACAAAAGCCCTGCTGGCCCTCCTAGGACAGGACTGGGGGGTGAGCATTGCGGTTTCTGCTCCCCCCCCACACCCCCCGTGTGTTTCCTGAGGAAGTGAGCCAGTGGGGCCTTTCCTGTCTAAACTGTCGTGGGCTCTAGACAGCGAAGCCAGCTTCAGGATGGGGGATGTTGGATGCTCCCACTTTCCTCTGACCTTGACTCTTACTGTCTCCTGCCTCTAACCTCTTCCCAGTGGCCCTGGGTCCTGCTACAGGCCTTCCCTGTACTCTGGACTCTGTTTCTGCAGGGAATGGGGGCTGAGAAGGTTCAAGCTGAGGGCCATGGACCTGGACTGAGGGGCAGGGAGGGGGTGTGGTGCAGAAGAACTTAAATGGTAGCCCATGCTTGTCCAAGGAGTGAGTTCCCCAGCCCCACGGGCATTCACCTCCAGGTTTTCCAGCTCCTGGTCTGGGATGCTGAAGTGTGTGAAGATAGAGGATTCTGGCTTGGGCTGGACCTATGGGGCCTGGGGTCCCTCGCATCCCTCCTTCCTCTGAAATTTCCGAGTTGCCTCACAGCCCTGAAGTGTGAGGGGAGGGCCTGCAGATTCAAGCTTCTCTCCCAGGACAGGGAGACCCCGTCTTTCCTGAACCCCTGGCCCAGGTGTTGGGCAGTTGGTAACTACTAGGCGGCCCTGCTCTTCCCACGCTTTCTGCCACAGGGTTTCGAGTTGGGCTTTTACACTGGGGAGGGGGGACATGGAGGGCCACCGTTTCCTCTGGCTGCAGAATTGGGTCCCATCCTTCCCAGCAGTGGGCTAAAGTGAGAATCTGTTGGGAAAATGATGGGGGACGGTCCAGCTGTAACCCCAGCCCATGCCCTTGGGACCAACAGGAGAATTAGTGACCACACTGGTGGCCCTCGTGGGAGGGGCTGGAGGTCTTTTTCTCCTCGGCAGGGGCGTGGGTGATGTCTGGGGTGGTCCTTACAGAGGAAAAGGCCCCCAGCGCCGGGTGTCTAAAACCTGGGATCCTGCCCTGTGTCCCATGCCGTCCCTGCTGGTCACCCCGCTCGTTGGCCCACAGTTCTTGCTCATCCTCTTGAGGCGTGCAGCCCCTGAGTTGGGGTCTGTTGCCCCTGTCAAGCCTGAGTGACAAGGACCATCCTCTCTCACCTGAGGAAATGGCCCTGGGCCCCAAGCCTCCAGACTGTCAGCCAGAAGACCTCCCTGAGGCCTGTGGTTTTGGCTGTGGGACCCAGAGCCTGGGCAGGCAGTGGGGGCGTTTGCCAATGTGGCCGCAGACGGCACGGTCTTTACCTGGTGCTGTATCCCGTGACTTCTTCACCTGGTTCTTAGTACGCCGCCTCCAGGTTTTTACCCCCATCCCAAAGGTGGGAAGCAGCTTCAGAGAATTGTAGTGATATTCCCAGGGGCTGGTGCGTACCCCAGCTCGGAGCCTGGCGTGGACCCTGGCCTGGCCTGACCCTGGCCTCTGCTCTCAGCCACAGCTCCCCCAGCCCTGGCCTGCCCTCCTGGGAGGCAGTTTCTGGGCCCGAGCAGAAGCTGAGAAGTCAGTCGGGCCAGAATGGGGTCCGATTTCCCTGCTGCAGCCAAGGAGGAGTCTCCCGAGTTGGCCTGGGCCTCACAGCCTTCGATCCTGAAGCAGATGCACTGATTTCCACACTCACACCCCCACTTACCGGCTGGAAGGGGGGCGCTTCGGGCCTGGACCCAAGCCCTGGCTGCCCGTCCAGCACCGCCACCGAGCGAGCAGCCGTGTGGGCCTGGGCAAGTTCTGCCCTCCTCTGAGACCCCCGTCCCTCATCTGTAGGATGGGGACAGTCCCACGAATGCTGTTGAGAGCTCTAAATGAGAGGACATGCACAGAGCAGCCAGGTGGCACCTGGCCAGTGTGAGGCCCCTGGGTGCAGACCGCAGCCCGGGGCCACCATGGCACTGCCACAGCCCCTGCTCACGCCTCAGGGACCCCCTGCCAACGACCGTCCCCCCCCTCCCCCACAGAGGTATTAGGAAGGATCCCTGTCTGGCATAATCACTGCTGATGGAGTGATAGATGTGTTTTCCCACTTCGTCTATCAGAGCCCTGGTCCCTGCCAGGCGGGACCCAGCCAAGGACCCATGAGGCCACACTATGGGCCAATTCCAAAGCAGAGGGCCGGCTGGGCTGGGCGCAGGGACAGGGCCATGTGAAGGGTTGGGAATGGGCTCATTGCTGGGCTTCCCCGGGCACCCAGTCCCTTTGTGTTACCTCGGGGGGGACCGAAGCCCAGAGGCTGCTTGGTGACCGTCTCAGGGTCCAGATGACAGGGAGGAGGGACTGATCCCCAGTCTTGCCTTTCACACTTTCCCCTCAGTAAGCCTGAGTCCCATGACCCCTTGGCCTTGTCTTTCCTCCCTTCTGCGTGGGCCCCTTGGAGCCCCCTCCCCTCCACTTCCCCGCCGTTATCAGCCGCCAGGCCCAGCCTGTCACTCTCAGCCCAGCCACCGCGGCTCCGAAGCTGCTGGCTCAGGAGCCACCAGCTTTTGCTGAGTGAGCGAGTCCAGAGGTGCTGTCTTGGCACAAACCACTGCTGGCTGCCGAGCCTTCTCCCTTCCTGCCTCCCTCCCTCCGCAGGGTCTCTTGCAAAGTGGGGGGTGTGGATGGACAGTGCTGGGCGGGACGAGGGGGGCACGGAGGCTGATGGCCGCAGCACTACCTCTAGGGTCTTCAACTTCAGGGAGAGAAGGGTCCTGAGGCCCAGAGAGCGGTGTTTGCCTGAGGTCACAGGGCAGACCAGCGGAGAGCCGAGCCGGGACTGCTCCCCACAAGGCTCAGGGAGCAGGAAGACGGTCTGCCCTGCCTGGGTTGTTTGGCAGAATCTTCCTGCCTCAGCTCTGTGGGGCCCTGGCTGGGTCCTCCCTCTCCCGCCGACACTAAGTGGGTTTTAATTTGCATAACATTTGCATTAACAGTAGCCTAGAAAGCAGTTCCCATTTAAGTTCCTCCTGTATGCAAAGGTTTTTGCTGGGTTGTTTTTTTTTTAAGATCTTATTTATTTGAGAGAGAGAGGGCCCAAGAGCACAAGTGGGGGGAAGGACAGAGGGAGAGAAACAGACCCCCACTAAGCAGGGAGCCCCGTGCGGGGCTTGATCCCAGGACCCCGGGATCATGATCTGAGTCGAAGGCAGATGCTCAACCATCTGAGCCACCCAGGTGCCCCCTGTGGGCCAAGGTTTTATGCACGTCAGATCCATTCGGTGACCCTAGAGGTAGGACCAAGGGGATGTCCCCGCTTTGTAGAAATGGAGACTCAGATTCTCAGCACTGACACGTTTACAGTCACCTGCTGGACAAACCCGAACTGAGCACCTACTGTGTGCCAAGCCCAGCCCTAGGCCCTGGGCTGGAGAGGGTGGTTGACAAAGATGAATGCGTCCTGTCCTGGCCCCTAGGAGACCGCGTGTTTGGTCCCTCTGCCCTTGGGACAACCCAGTGATAGCCTCCCAGGTAGTGTCCCTGTCTTGCAGACGGGGCCCAGACCAGGCCCAGAGTGGCAGGCATGTGGCCCAGGGTGGGTCCCTCAGCTCAGATCTGGGTCTCGGGACCCCACCCTGGATTTGCTGTTTGCCCCGCAGCCAGCCCCACCCAGACGAGGGCCACCCGCCGCCCCTCGAAGCTGTCCCGGTCCCCTGGAAGAGCGTGGGCCCCTGCAAAAGCCACAGGGAGTCCCCAAGAGGCCTGGCGGAGACCCCTGGAGGGGAGGAGGGCCCTGCAGCCGCCCAGCTGGACGTGTTGCGCCTGCGAAGCTCTTCCATGGAGATCCGGGAGAAGGGCTCAGAGTTCCTGAAGGAGGAGCTGCACAAAGCCCAGAAGGTGGGGCTTGGAGGGCGGCGGGT